CCCGGCCTCGTCGCGAATACAGCCAGGGCAGAGACCTCAGACCCCAGGAGCGCTCTGGCCCTCCCGCCCATCCAGAGCGCACTCCGGGAGGAGGCAGGGCCGACCCTGGCTGCGGGACGCGGGACAGGCGAGGCCCACACGGACCAGGCGGGGTCCCGGTGTCATCTCCAACCGAGGCGCGCTCGAGGAGGCGACACGGGCCCTGTCACCCCCTTAGCGTCACCCCGTTGAATTCACCAGGCCGTGCTGGTGAGGCTGAGGGCACAGGGGAACAGGCGAGGCTCCTGCTCCTTAAAGATGCCCCTGACAGCAGAAAATGTCAACTCCGGGGAGGTAGCTGGTGTGACCTGGACGCAGCGCGGGGCGACACGGAGGGGGGGCAGGGGCGCAGAGGAGAGGCCGGGCCGCCCCCCGGGACCCCCCGAAGGGAACCTAGAGCTGGCACATGCAAACAACTCGCCTTTAAAGGGAATCCACCGTCCCTGGGATGGCAGTCTGCAAGGGGGTCCCGTCTAGGTTCTCCCCAGACTCCAGTTTGAGAGTTTATTTCAAGAAAACTCTAAGGAGGGCGAACCCTAGTAAGAGTGCTGCCCGATTAGCCGAAGGGTTCCGAATGTGGCCGAGTGGGGACCGAGTGTTTCCGAAAACATCCAGTCCTCCGAAGAGTGTTTCGGAGAGTTCCGAAGATGCCCGAGTAAGCCTCCGTGCCCTCGTCGGGAATAGCCACGAGGGATTACGAAGAAGACCGGAAGCGTCCGAAGGCGCCGGGGCTGAGCTTAAATACTGCACACATTCACAAGTTCATTCGCAAATGTTTATTGAACGCCCATCTTGTGCCGAGCACGGTGCCAAGCGCTGGAGAGGTCGCTGAGGAATGGGCCTCGGGGCCGTCCGCATTGGAGCCACTAGGAAATCCAGCCGTGGAGTTCCGAAAACTTCCGAAAGGTCCTCGGAACGGCGGGGTTCCACGGCCGAGAACACTCCCTCGGCCCTCTAGCCGCAGACTTCCGAGCGACTCGAGACAGGCAGGCGGAAATAACCCAACACCCCAGCGCCTCCTCCTCGGAAGGGACCGGGGATTCCGGGCGCGCGCCTAGAGAGGAAGCGGAAATGCGTGTACGGTATTAAAGGCGTCGCCCCACCCCCTGCGTGCCTCTTTCCGTCTCCGGCCGTAGCAGCGAGAGGAGGTGAGCGTGTGCCCTCCGGCTGCCCGACGTGGTCGCCATCTCGCGCTCTCCGCCCAGGCCTTTTTCCCTGCCCACCTCCCACCCTTGCGCCCCGAGGGTCCCGCCCCGCCGCCTGGAGTCTCACGTTCTCCTCGCCTCTCCCGCAATCCCCGCGGCTAGTCTCGGCAGCCTGAGTTCGGTCTCGCCGCCTGAGGTTCCTCAGCCCCTCCTGGCAAAACTCTAGGCCGCCGGCTGCCCGAGGGGCCCCCGTCCGCCCAGGTCCGCGGTCGCGCGTCCCCTGCGGCCCGGGCGGGGCCTGTGGCCCGCGCCGGCCCAGTGCCCTGACCTCTTCCACGCGCCGCTTTCCGCAGTCGCCGCCATGTCCGCGCACCTGCAGTGGATGGTCGTGCGGAACTGCTCCAGCTTCCTGATCAAGAGGAACAAGCAGACCTACAGCACCGTGAGTGGGCCCGCCCGGCTCCGGGGAGGGTCCGGGTTCCCTGTCCGGTCTCTGAGACGACCCCTGTGCCTGCTCCCAGGAGCCCAACAACCTGAAGGCCCGCAACTCCTTCCGCTACAACGGGCTGATCCACCGCAAGACGGTGGGCGTGGAACCGGCGGCCGACGGCAAGGGCGTCGTGGTGGTCATGAAGCGGAGGTCCGGTGAGTGCCCGCAGCCCGGTCCCGGCGGGGAGCCGGGAGCGACGCTGCCGCTGGGTCCCCGGGTCGGGTGTGGCTCCCTAGCTCGCCAGATGCGTGAACTGGGCGTGTGGCCGGCCTGACCTGCTTTCTCCCCTGCGAAGTGGGGAAACGACGAACGAGGGCCTGAGCTCCCCCGGTGGTAGTGGGTTGAACGGCCGTCAGATGCTTTCAGGTTAAACTCCCGAGACAAGCGGGAAAGTGGAGGCATGGCAGGGGAGGGGGCGGGCCCTGCTCCCACGCAGGGAGGTGACTGCGGGGGCGAATACTGCAGTGGGACCCCAGGATCCCCTGAGCTGTTATTCCTTTCCTGAGTGTTCTATGAGAGGTGGTCAGGGGAGGCTGGCCTCCAGTGGAGGAGCTCAGCTCCTCATGTGTTCTCCAGAAGGGTGTTGGCTTTTTCCTTCCTTTCAAAGGAGTTTTTTGCCTGGTTCTTGATTGGGGTTGGCTTTTAACCCAGTTCAGAGTGCAGTGTCTTATACAGCAACAGAAGCCACCTACTGGCTGGTGACCCCAGGGACTTCTGTCCACCCTGGAGGGAGGTGACATTTTGGCTCAAGACCACAGTTCGGGTCACCCCGTTGCTTTCCCCCTGGGCTCCTGGGCTGTTGCTCCTGGGAACGCTGTCCTGGATTGCTGGGTCCTGAGCGTTTTCCTCCCCGGTTGCTAAACATGTGGGTGGCCTTCCCTAGATTTACAACTGGGTTGGGTGAGGGGGAATGTAAGCCCCACCCTTGGGTCAGGCCCCCTAACCAAGCTGATGTCCAGCTGTTGCTGTGGGAGTGGGTCTGGATTGGGGGGAGCACAGAACTCTGACCGGACCCTGGTCAGGTCCTGGCTGAGGTGGAAGCTTCCTGGCCCAACAAAAGGTGTTTTCATGGTGGGCAGGAGGAAGTTTTCTGTCTCTGCCTTAGCCGTGCTGCTGATATCGCCCTGCCCTGTTCAAAGGGGGGTCAGGGAAGACCAGGGCTGCAGCCTGAGCACCCACCACCCGGACAGCGTGCACATGTGTGACAGCATCTCTGCTGTGTGTGTGTGTGTGTGTGTGTGTGTGTGTGTGTGTGTGTTTGAGTGTGAGAGAGAGAGAGTATGAGTGTGAGAGCGATGCTTGGGGACGGCCTGCTTGATAAATGGGTGGTTAGTAGATGGGATTTGGGGCTATCTGTGGGCCAAGGGTGTGCCTTCACACCTGGGAGGTGCACTGACCCTGGGATCCCCTGCCAGGCCAGCGAAAGCCAGCCACTTCCTACGTGCGGACCACTATCAACAAGAACGCCAGGGCCACGCTCAGCAGCATCAGGCACATGATCCGCAAGAATAAGTACCGCCCCGACCTGCGCATGGTGAGCGGTGGGGCTGGGGGAGGTGTTGGTATGGGGGTCAGGGGAGGTCCCTTTCAGCCCCCACCCTTGAGGGGCAGGGTGCCGCTCAAGTGGGTGAGCTGAGGTCCCCCTTTCCCAGGCTGCCATCCGCAGGGCCAGCGCCATCCTGCGTAGCCAGAAGCCCGTGATGGTGAAGAGAAAGCGGACCCGCCCCACCAAGAGCTCCTGAGCCCTCTCCCCAGAAGCAATAAAGAGTCCGCTGCCTGCCTCAGTCTCTCCACGGTGCCTCCCTTTTGTGTGGTTTTGGGGGCTCCAGCCCTTGGTGTCGTCACTTGAGCCATGCCACCAAAACTCCTTGAATGTCGACTCGTCCATTTGAAGGAGCAGCAGGCTGGCCATGTGGGAGGGTGGGGTCACTGTCTTGACAGGAGGCTTGCTGACCCATCTACACCTACTGTCCCTTGTGAGGTGCTGGGGAATCCCAGCTGGAACCCTGGGATGGGTGGGGCTTCTGTTCAGAGGAGGAGGGGCTTTTTCCAGCCCAGGAGGATGCAAGCTTCACTGTTGCCTTGCACCCTTCACTGTTCAGAGGAGTGTGTGGCATGTACACGCACCCTTGTGCGTGTCTGTATATCCTTGTGGAGTGTGTCTCATCTGATTACCTGGTCACTCTGGGCGGTGGGGAAAGGTCGCTCCTGAAGTGTTTCCTGTGGGTCTGTTGTGTGCCAGCTGCTGCCAGGGACCAAGGGTGCAGTGTCAAGGGCACCCCATCCCTGTCCCCATCTGCAGTTCTGTGGCCAAGTGTCAAGGGACTCGTCAACCTCTAACTTGCTGTTGGGGTCTGGCGGCCAGGCATTCTGCCTTTTGGGACTAACTGTCCCTTGAGTGCTGTGCTTGTGAAAACTGTGCTCAGTAAGCCTGGTCTCTTGCCAGCCCATCTCACCTAGACTGGGGCGGTAGCCTCCACCTTGCCTCACTTGGTCTGTTAACCCAGATGGAGAGGGATTCCATTAGGGCTGAGGTGGAGTGGCACCTGTTCCAAGCTCCCAGCGTCCCCATCCCACCTCTAGACTCCCTCCGTGGTTCATTTAATGCCCACCCTGTCAGGTGTCACCTGGCAAGGTCTGTCCTCCGGTTGTGCTGTGGTTGTCCTCATCCCCTGACAGTCTGGGAGGCGTGTGGCATGGCAGCCTTGCCCATACTGATGGGAGGGATGGTCCAGCACTCCACCATGTAGATGCTCAGTGGATGCTAGATGTGTTGGGTACGTGAGAGCTCACGCCCCTGGGCCCAGGAGCTTGCTCTGCCGCCAGTCAAGTGGCCCCCACCTACACTGTGGCTTGCACACTTCTTGGTCCCCAAGGTGAGTGTTGGAGTCCTCCCTGCTGTGGCCTCCCGGAGCCTGTTTCTTATCTAGGTCAGTCAGCGCACCCCTGCCCCCGTGGGTGGCCAAGCTGTTACGGCAGCTGGGCTGGGGAGGCTGCGCCTGGCATCCCTGCTATGTGTGGGCTGGGGTGGGGCCAGGAGAGGACTTGGCCCTGGGAGGCAGGGGGCATCCTTACTGCTGAGCACATGACGTGGGAAGAGGCCCTTCCTAGGTCTCTGTCTCCTTTCTCCTGGGGTGGGGGTGGCTTGGGAAACATGATGGGACTGGTCTTCACACAAGTCATGTCTGTTGGCGTGGAAATCAGAAAGTGGAGCTTAAATAGAAAAAAGTAAAAACAACAGATTCCCAGGTCTGCAGCAGTAGGAATGCTGAGAGCCAAAGATGGGAAACAGAGCTTCCAGAGACAAACAACTTGTCACACAGGAACATGGTAGGATGACCAGGGGCTGCTCATCAGAGGCAGTGGGGGCATGACTGAAGAGCTGAGAGGATCCCACCCCGAGTGACAACCACCAGCATCCCCTGCCCAGGTTAGTGGTTTCTGGCAGCTGGGACTCGAACTGCCTTGGTTCCAGCCTCAGCTTTGCTAGTTGTGCAGTTGTGGGGATGTGGGCAGCTCTATGCCTCGGTTTCCCCATATGTAAAAGGTCAATTCAAGTGCCTTCCTTGGAGTTCTGTGAGGTGGGGGTCTTGGTTTTGCTCCCTACTGTGTATCCGGCACTTGGTGCAGCAAGTGTTTGCACAGTGAATGGAAGGCTGCCATGCTCAAGGTCGCTCTGAGCATGGGGCCTCCAGACTCCAATGGCAGCAGGTACAGGGCTGTGTTGCGGGGGGCTGGCATTGATTGCATTGGGGCTGTGCAGCCTTGGGTATGTTTCTCAACCTCTCTGCCTTTGTTTGCTTACCTGTAACAAGCAGGTCAATAGATTACCTTCGTAGGGTCAGTGAGAAGATTAAATGTGCAGAGTGTGCAGGACAAGGCCTACCCCTACCTTAAAAGTTTTCTGGTGGGGTGCAGTGGCTTACGTGTATAATCCCAGCACTTGGGAGGCTGAGGTAAGAGGGTTCCTGAGCCGGTTTGGGACCAGCCTGGGCAATTTGGTGAGACCTCATCTCTACAATAAATTAGGCATGGTGGCACGTGCCTGTAGTTCCAGTTACTTGGAAGGCTGACCTGAGCCCAGCAGGTCAAGGCTGCAGTGGCTGGGAGCGTGCCGCTGCCCTCCAGCCTGGGTGGCAGACTCCAACTCAAAAATGAAGTCTTTCTGGCTGGGAACGGTGGTTCATGCCTGTAATCCCAGCACTTTGAGAAGCTGAGGCAGGAGGATGACTTGAGCTCAGGACTGAGACCAACCTGGGCAGCACAGCAAAACTTTGTCTCTCAAGAAAAAAAAAAAATCCCAAAATGAGCTGGGTGTGGTGGCATGTGCCTGTAGTCCAATCTCAGGTGGTTTGGGGCGGAAGGATCTCCTGAGCCCAGCAAGTCGAGGCTGTGGTGAGCCATGATCATGACATTATATTCTGTCTTTTAAATAAAACAGAACTGGTCTCGGTGGCTCATGTAATCCTGCGCTTTGGGAGGCTGAGGTGAGTGGATTGCCTGAGCCCGCGGGTTCGAGACTCGCCTGGGCAACTTGGCGAGGCCTCATCTCTACAATAATTCAAAAAAATTAGCCGGGCGTGCGACTGTAGTTCCAGCTACTTGGAAGGCTGAGGCGGAAGGATTGCTGGAGCCCAGCCGGTTGAGGCTGCAGTGGCTGTGAGCGTGCCACTGCACTCCAGCTGGTGATGGAGTGAGGTTCCAGCTCAAATATCAAAAAGCAAATAGGAGCCTTCTGGGTCACCCACAGCGCAGTGCCACCAGAGCCCATCTTAACCCATGGCCTGACTTTTGTCATGTGTGTTGCTCTGACTTACATGTAAAGACCCAAGGGCAGGTGCCATGTGTTTCTTTCCACACTGCACCCCAGCACCCACAGTTCCTGGCCCGCACTGGTTGTGGATAAGTGGATGGCTCCCATTTCCCACAGCCCCCAGCAGTGGCCAGTCCTGGCTCTCACAGCTGTGTGGATACTGTGCCCCTGGGGAACCCCAGAGCGTGGAATCCCAGAGGTGGGAGCATCTGGTGGAAGGAAATGGAGAGTTAGCATCTGGGTGGCAGTAGCCATGTTTCACAGGGACCACATCAACCTGCACTCCCCAGATGTGAGTCCAAACCAACCTCCCAGGTTCTCCATAGGGCTGTGCATTCCTAGACTTAACAGTTCCTGCTATGCTGATGAGTAAAAAAGCCCTATCTCATTTTCAGTTAGTTGGCATTTCCTTGCATAAGGAGGAGTACACCAAACCTCACCCAAATAGTAATCTCAGAGGGACCAAACACTGACATAAAAAAATGAAAGAACGGGACTAAAAAGCCAGGTGTGGTGGCTCACATGTAATCCCAGCACTTTGGGAAGCCAAAGCGAGAGGATCACTTGAGGCCAGGAGTTTGGGGCTGCAGAGAGCTGAATCACCCCACGGCAGCCTGGGTGACAAAGACCCTGTCTCAGAAAAAAAAAAAGTATTTTAAAAACTACCATAGCCTGCCCCTTTGGGAGGCTGAGGTGAGTGGATTGCCTGAGCCCACGGGTTTGAGGCCCGCGGGTTTGAGGCCCGCCCGCCTGGGCAACTTGGCGAGACCTCATCTCTACAATAAATCAAAAATTAGCTGGGCGTGGTAGCGCGCGCCTGTAGTTCCGGCTACTTGGAAGGCTGAGGCGTAAGGATCGCCGGAGCCCAGCAGGTCGAGGCTGTGGTGGCCGGGAGCGGCCACTACACTCCAGTCTGGGTGACAGAGTGAGACTCCAACTCAAAAAAAAAAACAAAAACAAAAAACTACCATAGGGTATTATTTTAATCTCATGATTGACAAGACCTTCCTAAATAGGGCATGAAACCCAGATGATGTAAAAGATTTAGTAAATTTGATAGTACAAAGTTTTTAAATGACTCCGTGGCAGAAAATAAAGGTAAAGTAACAAAACGTGGGGAAGTTATGTTTGCAGTTCATTTCACGAAGGGCTCATTTTCTTGGCAGTTTCCATGAATCTGTGAAGATCCGCAAACTTAGATGGGGAAAGGCAATGGCCAGACATTGGCAGGTAGGCGCGGATGCCTTCTGTGTATGTGGGCTGCCCGCAGGGAATGCATACGGGTGTTGTGCCGAGCCTTTCCGGAGGGAGGCATGTGACGGGATGAGTGGCACTAAGGCCAATGTCGCAGTGACAGTCATGTTGGTAACACGTGTCTGTTCAGGGAAAACACTCTGTTCTGCTGTTCTCACACCGCCACAATCGTCAACACAGAAGACACACTTCTGGGCTGGGTGGGGTGGGGGTTTCCCCACACCCCACACCTCACACTGTGGACCCCAGCTGGGCGTCCTCCAATTCCACACAAACACCATGTAGCTGGAGACTATCAGATTCCACAGGGCGAGGTCTCAGTCCCCAAGAGTACCACACCTCAAGACACCAGTCACAAGTCCAGGCCTTCAAGTTGGGGCACTCATGACCCCCTCCTTTGGGTTCATTTAATTTGCGGGAACAGCTTACAGAACTCAGGGAAACTCGTTTATGGGTTTATTATTAAAGGATACCACAAAGGACACGTGAAGAATGCTAGGGTGAGGACTAGGGGGAGGGGCACAGAGCTTCCATGTCCCCCGAGCCGCCCTCCAGATCTCCACGTGTTCAGCTCACCAGAAGTTCCTGAATCCCATCTCTTGTTTTTGTTTGAGCCAGTCTCACTGTGTCACCCAGGCTGTAGTGCAGTGGCATGTTGCTCCCAGCCACCACAGCCTTGACTTGCTGGGCTCAGGCGATCCTTCCTCTTCACCCTTCCAAGTAGCTGGAACTACAGGCATGCGACACCATACCTGACGACTAATTTTTTTATTTATTGGAGAGTCGAGGTCTTGCCAAGTTGCCCAAGCTGGTCTTGAACCTGGAGGCTCAGGCAGTCCTCTCACCTTGGCCTCCCAAAATTATATTATAGGCATGAGCCACCACACCTGGCTGTAATGTCTGTTCTAAATATATTCCCTCATGTGCCAATGACCCATGTGGAAAGCTGTTCATTTCAGCAGTTTGCAGTAAATAAATGACTAGCCAACCAGTAGAGGATTTGTGATAGGAATATATGGAACTTTATTCAGTAGAATATGCAACTGGAAGAAAGAAGTGTTGTAAGTAGTGACACAGCAAGACTTTGAAAAATTATTCACTCAGAAAAGCAAGGTGCTCTATACTATGGGACCCTACCAGTTGTGTAAGAAGGGGGTGGTTAAAGAAATATGTATTTGCTGGGCACGGTGGCTCACACATGTCATCCCAGCACTTTGGGAGACACAGGCTAGAGGACTGCCTGAGCCCACAGGTCTGAGACCAACCTGGGCAACACAGCAAGACCTGGTGGCACGCGCCTGTAGTTCCACTTACTTGGAAGGCTGAGGTGGAAGGATCACCTGAGCCCAGCGGTTTGAGGCTGTAGTGGCTGTGAGCATACTACTCTACTCCAGCCTGGATGAGAGTGAGACTCCCACTCAAAAAACAAATAATATGTATTTACATTTCCTGGTCTTTGCAAGTAATTTCTCCAGAAAAATACACAAGACCTGGTAACATTGCTTGTTGATGATTAAGGACACTGGGTGTCCAGGAGACTGGAATGGGAGGGAGTCATTTGATTGTAGAAACTTTTGTTAAATTAAAAAAAAAAAACTTAAGTTTTTCGAATAATGTTATTCCAAGTGCTCCTTCCTTGAGACATATGTTTGCAGTTTCATTTAATTTTTTTTTTAGCCTGGTCAACATAGCAGGACTCTTCTCTACAAGAAAATAATAATAATAAAAAGTAGCTGAGCGTGGTGTCTCATGTCTGTAGTCCCAGTTACTCAGGAGGCGAGAGTCAGCCGGGCTTGGTGGCTCAGCCTGTAATCCCAACGCTTTGGGAGGCTGAGGTGAATGGATTGCCTGAGCCCGCAGGTTAAAGTCCCGCCTGGGCAACTTGGCAAGACCTCATCTCTACAATAAATCAGAAAATCAACCGGGCATGGTAGCACGTGCCTGTAATTCCGGCTACTCGGAGGGCTGAGGTGGAAGGATTGCCGGAGCCCAGTGGGTCGAGGCTGCAGTGGCCGGGAGCAGCCACTGGACTCCAGTCTGGGCGACAGAGTGAGACTCCAACTCAAAAATAAAAAAAAGGAGGCAGGAGCTGGGCTCGGTGACTCAGCCTGTAATCCCGCGCCTTTGGGAGGATGAGGTGAGTGATTGCCTGAGCCTGCGGGTTCGAGACCCGCCTGGGCAACTTGGTGAGACCTCATCTCTACAATAAATCAAAATGAGCCGGGTGTGGTAGTGCGCACCTGTAGTTCCAGCTACTTGGAGGGTTGAGGTGGAAGGATCGCTGGAGCCCAGCAGGTCGAGGCTGCAGTGGCCGGGAGCGGCCACTGCACTTCAGTCTGGGTGACAGAGTGAGACTCCAACTCAAAAAAAGAAAAAAAAGAGGCAAGAGTCCAAGGTTACAGAAAGCTATGCACCACTGCATTCCAGCCTGGGAGAGAGACTCTGTATCTTAAAAAAAAACAAAAATAAATTATAATTATATTTAATTGTATAGAGATGAGGTCTTGTTCTATTGCCCAGGGTGGTCTTGAATTCCTAATCTCAACCAATCCTCTTGCCTCAGCCTCCCTAAGTGCTAGGGCTACAGATGCCAGTCATTGGTACATGGCCGGTTTGCAGTTTCTGCTGTGGCCATCTAGAGGCATGAGATGCAAGCAAATATACATGTATTTTTTAAGATACTTATTGTATTTTTAGAGACAGGGTCTTGCTGTTTTTCCCATGATGGAGTGAAGTGGTGCAGTAACTCACTGCAGCCCCAACCTCCTGGGCTCAAGCTATCCTCCCATCTCTGCCTCCCAAGTTGCTTGGACTATAGGTATGAGCCACCATGCTGGCTACTTTTATTTTTTAATTTTTTGTAGAGATGAGGTCCTGCTATGTTGCCCAGGCTGGTCTCCAACTCCTGGCCCCCCAAAGCATCCTCTGGTCTTGGCCTCCCTAAGTGCTGAGCTAAGAGGTCTGCACTAGAAGCATAGAAGACCAAATAAACATCAATAGAGAAACAGGAAAATCTTAACTGAAAATCTTGGCATGAAAAAATTGTGTACAAAAATGGTCCCAAAGGAGGTCTTGTATCACAAAATGCACCAGCTCACACAGCCTTGTGAGGAAGTTTTTAGCCAGTAAACAAATAGTTGGAACACCTTCCCTACTCACCTGATCTGGCCCCCAGTGACTTTTTTCTTTACCCAAAGTTAAAGGAAATATCGAAAGGAAGACATTTTGATGACATTCAAGACATCATGGGTAATATGACAACTACTCTATTGGCCATTCCAGAAAAAGTTCCAAAATTGCTTTGACAGGTGGACTAGGCACTAACATCAGTGCACAGCTTCCCAATGGGATGACTTCAAAGGTGACCATAGTGATATTCAGCAATGAGGTACGTAGCACTTCTTTTAGGAGTTCACAAACTTAATTGTCAAGGTCATACAGACCTCGTATGTGCAAGAATCTTGAGGGCTGGGTGCTGGTAGGATGCACCCATAGTCTGGAGGCTAAAGTGGGAGGATCACTTGAGGCCAGCCTGGGCAACAGAGTGAAACTTGTCTCTACTTTTTTTTGGAGTAGGAGTCTCATTCTGTCGCCCAGGCTGGAGTGCAGTGGCATGCTCATGGCCACCACTGCCTCGACTTGCTGGGCTCAGGCTGGGTCTGGGTCTGAAAACCCCAAGGGCCCCCCCCTCTGCTTCCCCTCACTTCTTGCACCCCTCAAGGGAGGGAGGAGGGGTGCAGACTAGGTTCTGATTCCCTCACCCTGGGGTCATCACTGAGGCTGCCCGACACAGGAAGGGAGTCAAGACTCCTATCAGTGGGGCCCTAGGTTCTGAGCTCAGGCATTTTATCAGGATAGGTTTCTAGACTAGGCAGCATTACAAAACCCCATCTCTACAAAAAATAAAAAGAGGAATTAATTGTGCATGTCTGTAGTCCCAGCTACTGGGGGTGCTGAGGTGGAGGGATCACCTGGGCCCAAGAGGTTGAGGCTGTCCTGAGCCATGATCCTGCCACTGCACTCCACCCTGGGTAAACTTGACCCCCCCCCCAAAAAAAAAGGCGCTGGGTGCAGTGGCTCACACCTGTAATCCCAGTACTCTGGGAGGTAGAGGCAAGAAAACTGCCTGAGTCCGGGGGTTTGAGACTAGCCTGGTCACCTTGGCGAGACCTCCTCTGTACAGTAAATAAAAAAATTAGCCAGGCATGGTGGTACATGCCTGTAATTCCAGCTACTTGGAAGGCTGAGGCAGAAGGATCGCCTGAGCCCAGCAGGTCGAGGCCACGGTGGCCGTGAGCCTAGATGAGAGTGACACAGTGACTCAAAATAAAAAAAAGATAAAATAAAAGCAAATAACTGCAAGTCTTCCAATCAACTCAATGCTTTTAAATGTTGATGGAGCATTTGGTTTTTAATGAGTCATTGACCCAAGTATTCCAAGCCACTAAGAGTGGGAAGTTTCCCCAGCCCCTGGTACGTGCACCCAGGTGAATCCCTTCCCCTGGAAGGCAGAGCCTGAACCTGTGAGGGGCATCACCCCTGTGACAGGTGCACCTGTAGTTAAAGCACTAGATAGGCCTGCATTAACCTGGTGAGCACTTTCAAAAGAGTCTGGCTGCCAGGCTGTGGAGGGGCAGCTTCCAGGAGCTAAGACTTCAGCCCCACAGCCTGCAGCCAACAACCACACAGGCTTAGAGACACCCTTGACAAAGTAACACGGACCACTCATACCTGTTCCACCTGCAAAGCCCTGAGCAGAGAATGGGGCTTGGCTGTGGGTGCGGTTCAAAGCCATGGGGCTTGTGATCTGTGATGCAGAAACACAGGTGGGAACAGGCTGTTGCAAGGCCGGTGTCCAGGGCAGAGGTAGATCAGATGACAAGAGGGGACAGAACCCTGCCTTGGTGCAGAGCCTGCCAGACAAGGCGAGCCACACACAAGACTGCTCGTACCTGGCCACCCTGGGCAGGAAAGATACAATCCTGATCGTTCCAGAGGGACAGACACACAGGGCAGGGCGGCCCAGGCTCCCTGGAGCCACTCTCACCCCATGTCAGCCTGGAAACCCCGCTCAAGAGGAACTGTGAGCCCTCCACGCCTCACCCTGGAGGTCTGGAGCCGCGTGGACCCAAGGCCAAGGGCAGGGAGCCAACTGCCCCAGCACTGGCAGACGCAGTGACCGGGATATCTGTGAGGCACAGAAGCTGCCTTTCAACTTTATTTAGAAAAACAAATCCAGGTCCCAGTGCCCCACGCCCCCCCACCCCAGCCATAATTTAAATAACTTAGAGACAGAGTTGGAGGGAGGGGACGGGAGGGGCTGCTACAGCCGCCGCAGCGCGCGCTTCTTGTCCATCTTC